ATTTTATTTATTTGACAGAGAGAGACACAGCGAGAGAGGGAACACAAGCAGGGAGAGTGGGAGAGGGAGAAGCAGGCTTCCTGCGGAGCAGGGAGCCCGATTTGGGGCTTGATCCCAGGACCCTGGGATCATGACCTGAGCCGAAGGCAGACGCTAACGACTGAGCCATCCAGGCGCCCTTTATTCTTATTTTATATGCAGCATGAACTTGTTGAATTCTAGCTTTTCTTTTTCTTATTTAAAATTTTTTTGAGTATAATTGATGCACAGTGTTATGTTAGTTTCTGGTGTACAACATAGTGATTTAACATCTCTATACATTATGCTTTGCTCACAAGTGTAGCTACCACCTATTACCATACAATGCTATTATAATATCATTGCCTATATTCCCTATGCTCTACCTTTTATTCTGATGACTTATTCATTCCATAACTGGAAACCTGTATCTTTCACTCCCCTTCACTCATTTGCCCATTCACTTACCCCCTAACTTTTCTTTATTTAACACACTGATTGGCTTTTTCTTTTAATTTTAACTATGTTTCATAGTGACTAAAATACAGAAATTAAACTTGGGCCTTATTCTGACGAAATTGTTAAAATTAATTTTAGCCGGCAGATCAATCCCTTTTTTCCACCTGATAAAATTGAAAAATTAAACATTTCTAGTAGTAGGGATGCCTTTTAAGTTTGACTTGTGTGATCACATTGTGAAGAGTTGGGCAAATAAAATGTCTGAAAGATGTAAATAATTCAGTTTTCAGTTTAAGAATAAGATTGTAGTGGCAAAGAATTTTTTAAAATGGAAAAGTAAATTGAAAATAGGATCTAAAAAAAGTAAACAGAATCTAATAGCTTGAAGAAACTTTAATGATTATCTGAGGAAGTAGTTTGAAACTAAAAGCAGCTGAGCCAATTTTTTTTTCAGATTGAATCATAGGTAAAATCCCAGTATCTAAACCAATAAGCAGAAATTTTTTATGCATAGAACCATGGAGCTCTATATTTTTGAGACACTTCACTAATTGTTTCAGTTGTTTTAGTTTGGTATTGAGAAAACTGAGCGCAGTAGAGGAATGTGATTTAGGTCACATGTTTGAGGGCACAAACAGGATTGAATTTTCAGGTGTTCTGATTCTCAGCCCACCATTTTTTCTACAGTTACGTACTTTGAACATTAGGTCATTTGAGAAAAAAATCATTGTGAGTAGAGAAAAAAGTTAAGTCATCATAAAGTTTTGGGAATGATTTAAAGTTCTCTTTAGAGATATTTTGTTCTAGGAGCAAATTCGAATGAGTGAGGAGTCTGGGCTTTATGCCAGAAGCCATGAAAATAGATCATTGTCTATTCTTGTGGAGTACAAATCAAATTGAAGGGAACAGATACCATATGGTACTCTTAGATTTTATTTTCTGAACAAATGGTAATGAAAGCACCAATTAGAAGATAATTATTCAAATAGTGATAGTAATTAGAAGTAAGTAGTGAGTGGTAGTGTGAGTAACAAGTGTGGCTTCCATCAGAGATGGGGTGGCTCTCTATTCAGGGTATGTTTTGTCAGCAAATTGATAGCGATACTCCAGGTGTAGCTGCATTGTTTATCTTCTACTCCTTGCTACATAAATGCCTGTCAAAATTCAGTTTGTGAAGTCAGTCATGGGAATATAGTTAGTGATATTGTAGTAGTATTGTATGATGACAGATGGTAGGTACACTTGTGAGCATAGCATAATGTATAGAGAGGTGTTGAATCACTATGTTGTACAGCTGAAATTAATTAACATTGCATGTTAACTAAAATAAAAGAAGCCCTCGTTTGTGGATAATTACACTGAAGAATAAGAAATGTAATCCTTTGGAGTAAACTACTAGAATAGAGATGCTTACTTAGATCACATTATTTTGACCTATAATATTGCTTTTACTGAAATTTACTTTGGATTTGTACAGTCCGTCTCTCTTGAGGTGCATTGTAAGAAACTGTCCTATGAAATTTGTGTTAAAAATTTTATTTACATTTGTAAATTCTTGGGTATTTCAAACATTCAGAATACTACAGAAACTAATGTTACACTTGTGTCTACCACCCAAATTTGACAAAAACTAATATTTTATTGAATTCAGGTCTTTTAAAATAAGAGAAGTACGTTACAGATACAGGAAAAAGCCATATCTCCCTCTTCTTTCCATTCAGCTCTCTTCCCAGAGTTAAACATGTTTGTGAAGTTGGTGGGGATCTTTTCTTTTTTTAATTTTATGATTTCACTGTCTATGTGTATATATATCCGTAAAGAATACTAAAGCACTGTTTGTGTTTTAAATGTTTTATATGTGTTTTTATGTTACGTTTTAAGTGTTTAAATATTAAATGTCTTAAATGTTAAATGCTAACATAGTTGGTCTGTGTGTGTTGTGTGTGTGTGTGTATGTGTGTGTGTGGTTTTTTGCAACTTGGTTTTGTGCAGTCAACATTTGATACTTACCAATACATGGGTATTTTAATAGCTGTAAATGAGTATACCACAATTTATGTTTTCCTCTTCTAAAGCCCTTTCGGTTTGTTTCTATTTTCACCAATACCAGTGATGTGATCACTTTCACAGAGTGATCAGGGAATGTGGTAACCATGTCAGTTCAAGACATAGTTGTGCCTGCTGTGTCCAAGACATTGTGCTAGGGCTGCAGAAGAGGAAATGTTTCCTGCCTTTAAGGAATTTCCATTGTAGCAGTCACTTAAGAGATTTCTCTTCTTGCCATGAGCACTAAGAATTGAGGTAGCTTAGGGTCCGCCTGGGTGGCTCAGTCATTAAGCGTCTGCCTTTGGCTCGGGTCATGATCCCAGGGTCCTGGGATCGAGCCCCGCATCAGGCTCCCTGCTCAGCGGGAAGTCTGCTTCTCCCGCTCCCACTCCCCCTGTTTGTATTCCCTCTCTCGCTGTCTCTCTCTCTCTCTCTCTCTGTCAAATAAATAAATAAATAAAATCTTAAAAAAAAAATTGAGGTAGCTCAGTTTAACCATCATAATAGCTTTTGGTTAATGACATAATAGCCTTTGGTGAACACTGCCTCTTTGTTAGTCAGAGGAGAGCTTCATAGAATTGTCACCACAATCTACGCTGTAGTTTCTCTTATTACCTACATATTACAGGTGAGGAGAGTGAGGCTTAGAAATTTAAGTAACTTACCTGAGTGACTTACAAGTGGTAGAGCTATGATTTAAACTGAGATTGACTGGCTTCAGTGTGTAGCGGGGTTATACTTCGGGAGGAAGGAGAATATAAGAACAAACCTTACATCATACGAAATCTTTTTCTGTGGCTGCCTGTAATTTTTATGTCAGTTTCAGCAGTACTGAGAAATGATGGTTGATAAGGCTAAGCATTTGATAGGCCTTCTTTTAATTCTTTGGGCTGAATTTAAATTATTTGAACATGGGGCACCTGGGTGGCTCAGTCGGTTAAGTATTGGACTCCTGATTTTTGCTCAGGTCATGATCTCAGGGTTCTCAGATGGAGCCCCTTGTCAGGCTCCTTGCTCAGTGGGGAGATTGCTTGAGATTCTCTCTCCTTCTTTGTCTGCCCTCTCTCTCGGCGCCTCTTCCCACTCTTACGTGCTCTTTCTAAAATAAATACATCTTTCAAAAAAATTTGAACCTTATGAATTTTAAAGCCCAGCTATTTTATTATTTGTTTTTTTTAAGCCAGTAACTTACTAAATTCCTTCCTATTTAATAGAGATTAATTAGTAATTTGTCATTGTTCTTGTTTTTAATTTTTTGCTTTTTGAATGACAAAAATTGTTCACCTTTTCAAAAATACTCAAAAATAATGTTACGTGTTGAGTGTATAATCACAATACAGATACAGCCAATGTTAATAGAGTTTGGAGTATTTTTTTTTTTTTCGGTAGTTACTGATTATCAGCTTTGACAGTGTTCTGATGTAGGGGATCTTGGGAATACAAAGATAAATATAATATGTTCTTTGCTCTTAAGAGTTACAGAAGATGAATCAAAAACAAATAACTAATTGATATTAGTAATAAGGACATGAAAGAGGTAGAGGTGAAATAGATGGAGAATTATTCCAAATTTGGGAAAAGGGCATGAGGAAACTTGGAGAAGGCTTCATGGAAAAGGTTAATATTTAAGTAATGAGTTGATACAGGGGGAAAGTTTCTAGATCAGCACTATCCAATAGAAATGTAATGTGAACCACATATTTATTTAAAATTTTCTGGTAGCCACCTTAAAAAGAATAACACACTGGTAAAATGAATATATTTTATTTAATCTATCATATAAAAATACTATCATTTCAGCATGTAATCCATTTTTTTTTATTTTTTTTTTATTTGCGAGAGAAAGAATGAGAGACAGAGAGCATGAGAGGGAGGAGGGTCAGAGGGAGAAGCAGACTCCCTGCTGAGCAGGGAGCCTGATGTGGGACTCTATCCCGGGACTCCAGGATCATGACCTGAGCCGAAGGCAGTCGCTTAACCAACTGAGCCACCCAGGCGCCCCAGGATGTAATCCATTTTAAAAATTGAGATATTTTACTTTTTTTTTGTAGTCTTAAAAATCTGGTGTGTGTTTTATATTTACAACATAGTCTCAAATCAGTCATTCATACTAATGAGATTTTAAGTGCTCATTAGTCAGATAAGGCATGGCTACTGTATTGAACAGTACAGATTTAGATAGATGAAAGAGGCAGAAATAGAATATATCTGTGGAATTTGCAAGTTTTTCAGTATAGCATGAAGGGGAATAATGGGAACTGATGCTAAGAGGGTAGCTGTGGGGAGATCAAGAGACTTTTAAGGCATATCAGTGTGAATTACTCCAACTATAAAGTATTACCTTAAATTTTCTTACTATGCTAAAATTCACTGAAAGTATCTTGGGATGAGTCCCAAAGGTTGATATGAAGGCAAATATTAACATCTTGAATTTTATATATTCAGAATTTCAGTCTATGTTTGGAATCCAAGCTTGAAAACAGTCCAGTGGGAAATACCTCTACTGTTTCAGCTCTGCCCAGTCAAGCAAAAATTGATACAGGGGAGAATAAAGTTCCAGGTAAACTTTGAAAATATTATTTGGATTTCTCAGTGTTCAGAGATATTTTTGTCAGTATGGTAGAAAACAATACTGATTGCCAAATAGGCCAGTTAAATCCTTCTGAACTATTGCGTGTGTTTTTCAAATGTGTGATTATCACCATTCTTTTTTGTTTTTTGTTTTTATCTTTACTACCATTCTTTGGGGTAGAATTGCTTTTCTTTCTTACCTTGTTTAAATTAAGTATGAAAAAATAAAAAATAAAATGGCCTGGATGATCAATAAGATTGGGTCCAAAACAGAAACAAAGCACATTAGCCAAAGGTCAACTAACTTGGACAACTTTAACTTTTCCTTTAGAAAATCCATTGTTTCTTTATTTAAGTTTTAAATGTTTTCCCAAAACATTTTTGGGGAACGAGGTATAAAAATAAAGTACTAGTTTACACATATTGATAAATCGTAAAAATAAATAATTTATGATTCTTTGACTCACTACCAAAAGTCCTTTTGTCTGTCTTAAATCTTTTATTTTGTTTATGACTTACTTTCTGGAGAAGTATTACTTAATGAATTGCGTTAGTTAGTGGTAGGAGCTTATTTTTCAAGTACAAAGACTGTGTTTTTCCACTTCAGATTCTTATCTTTAATCCTCACTTACTCAGTTTTCCATGTTAGTGATTCTGTCTTTGAAAGGATTTAATAAATGCTGAAGGCCACCTGGCTGGCCCAGTCAGTGGAGCTTACTTAAAAAAAATAAAAAAATTGCAATTTGGGCAGTTATGCCATACAAAGACTTTTTTTGTGTGACCTTGTAAAAATTTTTTGACAATACATTGTTTGAGCTGTTGGATGGGGATTTGTTCACCTATATCAGATGAAGCCTGAGGGAATATAGAAAATAAATTCCTAATTCCTGTTTCTCTCTGCTGAAGGAAAGGTATACATGGAGCAGTATATTGAGGTCAGACAATGTCTTTCATTGCATATTATTTAACCTTTTCTGTTAGTGGAGGAAAGAGAAGTATAATATAAATATGAGAAATGTACTACTTATTCATTAGAAAAGAAAATGAATTGATTATTGCATTATTTATTAATGTGATTAAAACTCTAGAAACTACAATTAAAAAATTCAGTATAATTAACATACAGTTTTATATTAGTTTCAGGTGTACAGTATAGTGATTCAGCAATTCAGTACATTACTCATTGTTCATCATGATAAGTGTACTCTTAATCCCCTTCACCTGTTTCATCCATTCCTCTACCCACCTCCCCTGTGGAACCACCAATTTGTTCTCTATATTTAAGAGTCTTTGTGTCTTTTATTTTCCTTGTTTTGTTTCTTAAATTCCTACAGATGAGTGAAATCACACGGTATTTATCTTTCTCTGACTTATTTCACTTAGCATTACACCCTCTAGATCCATCCATGTTGCAACTGGCAAGATTTCATTCATTTTTATGGCTGAGTAATATTCTATTGTATGTATGTATATATACCACATCTTTTTTATCCACTCATCTATTGATGGACACTTGGGTTGCTTCCATAATTTGGCTATTTTAAATAATGCTGCAATAAACATAGGGGTGCATATAGCTTTTTAAATTGGTATTTTTGTATTCTTTGGGTAAATACCCAGTAGTAGAATTACTGGACCATATGGTAATTCTATTTTTAATTTTTTGAGAACCCCCATACTGTTTTCTACAGTAGCTGTACCAATTTGCATACCCACCAACACTGCAGGAGGGTTCCTTTTTCTCCACATCCTCGCCAACACTGACTGTTTCTTACAGACTACAATTCTTTTTAAACAAAGAAATGTTCCCATTTGTTTCCATTTAGAGATTGTATAATTATATAGGCATTTACACAGGTTGCTTTATTGTTCAGTGCTAGTGATTGGTGAAACTAGAAGACACTGTTAATCTACCATTGGATCTCTTTGTGGCTCTGTAGAGCCTTTTTCTCCCTCTTTTCTGAAGAGTAATTTCTAGAAAGGGGCTCTAATTTAATCAAATGATTTTTATTAAAAATAAAGCATTTAGTGCATCGTTCTCTTTTTTTTTCTTTGTAATGATTTTCAGCCTATTAGATGGAGAGGTAGTACAAAGATTAACGTGTAACTCACTTTCTTGATTAAATTACAGGTTCAGCTCCCAAACAACATACTATACTCAGTAACCAGACACCTAAGGCCAGTGATGACAGGTAAGACATTAGTTTAATACAAGAATAAATAGGAGAACTGTTAAAAGATAAACTGAGGCTTTTACGGTTTTTGTTTATTTGAACAAAAATCAGTTTGAATTGGGCAGTATCCAGTCTTGCAGATAGAAAGGAGCGCCAAGGAGCTGTAACATGAAAGACTTTTATAGGCAGAAAGGAGTGGGAATAAGGAAATTACAACTGGCAAAAAAGCGGGTTGATTATTGCAAAGTTACTTTCCTTTGGGAGAGATGGCAGAGGTCTTTCAGGCAAATTACCTAACTAGTGCTAATTAGGTGATTCCTGAATGGTATAAGATTCCATTTCTGGAAGAATCAAGACTAAGTCTGAGTTTGGTAATATGGGGCTTAGCATAAGCAACTCCATTTTGGACCTGTTGTCTTGTTTTTAACAGAACTTAAGGATTTTATACTTACCTTTCAAGTTTGGGGTATTTTTCCCTAAAACCTTGTGCTGGTAATCCACAGTTTTTCATGTAGAAAGAATGTGATATTCACAAGTTCTGTTTTCATTTTACTTTTTTTTTGTGCCTATACATATGTTTTATAGCTTTTTTTTTTTTTTTTTTTTACTTATGGTATTATGGGCATCTTTTCTTTACTACCTCATTCTGTTAAATCTGTATTAGATTTCATTGTGTGAATATTCCATTGTTTATTTAACAGTTCTCCACTTTATAGACATTTTGGTTTCTAGTTAATTTCTGTCCAAGAAAAAGTTCTGCAATAAACATAAGCATTTTTGCCCATTTGTATTACTATATCTAGGATAAGTTTATAGCTATAGGACTTAGTCTGCATTGCCATATTTTCCTCCAGTGTGTGTCTTTTATACTTCCAGCAACAGTGTTTTGAGAATGCACCTTTCTGCAAACCCCTTGAAGTACTGGGTATTATCAACATGTAAAAGTGTTTTAAGTGTTTTAAAAGCATTCCATTCTCTTTAATGTCAGAATAAAATTAAATCTGACTTATTTTGCTTTAGAGATTACTGGAAACAGTATTTAGGACAAACTGTAGTAACTAAGATGGCTAAAAATTACCCCAAAAACTTAAACCTTATTCAAATTATAGTACGTACAGCAGTTTTTTATTTGTTGAAAATTAGTAATTTTCTTCCCTTGATTTTTAAAAGGTTATTTTTCCCCCATTGGAGTTGAAAATTGTGAGTGTTGTATAGAAAAAGTTTATTTTTTTTTTTCCTTTTTAGTGATTTGAAGTGATAACAGCTTTATAACATTTAATGGTGTGACTTTTTTTTTTTTTTCTTAAGGGAGACACCACCAAATCATTCTTGGCCTAAGTGTAATTCCCATTTGGAGATAACAATTCCAAAGGACTTGAAACTAAAAGAAGCAGAGAAAGTTGATGAAAAACAGTTGATCATAGTAAGTATCCAACTGACCTTTTTGGTGAAGAGTTATTATAATCATCTTACTTATGCACATTGTTAAAGAGTAAGTTCATCCTTTTTTCCAAAGAGCCTTTTTTTCACCATAAACCATTATGGAAATATTTCTGCTGACATTACAAACACCCTTCTGGGCCCCCAGTAGTGAGACCCTCCTGCCACAAATAAAAACTCAAAATCCCCATGCTTTTAGTTTTATTTATGACAGATTGATACTTTATTTTACATTTATTTTATCATTTGTTACTTTCTTAAATATGTCATTTGATGTACCTCGTTTTAGTAGTTGGTTTAAATATTAAAATAACATGGAGCTTAATGCATAAAATGATTTTAAATATCTGTATTTTAGTGTATTTTATAATTTTAAAACTGTGTTTTATAGGAAGATAAACCAATAGTTAATTTGAAATAGAAATTAACCACTCTGCGGTTTGGTGGCAAGTTGTAAAAGAGAGGGAGATATTTTGATTGATTAAAAATCTAATTTGAGTGGTGCCTGGGTGGCTCAGTCATTAAGCATCATGACCTTCGGTTCAGGTCATGATCCCAGGGTCCTGGGATTGAGCCCCGCATCAGGCTCCCTGCTCCGTGAGAGGCCTGCTTCTCCTTCTCCCACTCCCCCTGCTTGTGTTCCCTCTCTCGCTGTGTCTCTCTCTGTCAAATAAATAAATAAAATCTTTAAAAAAAAATCTAATTTGAACGAGTGAGCACACTCTGAAAAAATGAAGGGACCCAAAATAATAGGAAAGTTTAGTGTACTTCCAGTCAACATTATCAATAGGAATTTTTTGGAGTAGATTATTGATTCTAACTTTAATATAGAGGAATTACTTTGTAAGAATTATTTGGAAGTTTTTGAGAAAGTTTAATCAGGAAAAAGTTTCATCAGATTTAATAACATTTCTGTTGTTAAATCAATATGATAGTGAAACAGGATTAGACTAGTAGAATCTAGAGCTTCACTGTCCAATATGGTAGCCACATGTGGCCCTTTAGTATTTGAAATGTGGCTCATCAGAACTGTGATACACTATTAGTGTAAATGTATTTACTGCATTTTAAAGACTAGTACAGAAAAGGGAATGTAAAGTATTTCACTAATAAGTTTTTATTTAGTATACGTTGACATTATAATATTTGGGATATGTTTTGTTGAATAAAATACTAAAATTAATTTCACATGTTTGTTTTGCATCCTTTAACATGGCTACAAGAAAATTTAAAATTACATTTGTGGCTTGCACTTCTATTCAGTTGTTCTGGTCAAGAGTTGATGATGATGATGTTAATGATCATTATAGCAGCTGATATTTTTTGAATACATTGTTTTATGTATTCCACTCATAAAAACTTAATTAAGCCTTAGTTTTTAAAATATGAGGTAGGGACTATTATTTCCCATTTACCAATTAAGAAACCGAGGAAGAGATGTTTATTCAATACTATGAATACTGCCTGCTTAAAGCGATATTTGTACACTGGTGTTCATTAATCATAGCCAAAAGGTGAAAGCAATCAAAGTATCAAGGATGAATGGATAAACAAAATGTGGTGTATACATACAATGAATGGAATATTATTCAGCCTTAAAACAGAAGAAATTCTGACGTGGCACAATGTGGTTGAACCTTAAGGACATTAAGCTAAGTGAAATAAGTCAGTCACAGAAAGACACATACTGCATGATTTCACTCCTGTGAGGTGCCTAGAGTAGTCAAATTCAGAGACAGTAGTATGGTAGTTTCTAGAAACTGGGAAGGAAAGTGGATTGGGAACGTATTGTTTAGTGGGTATAGAGTTTCAGTTTTGCAAAATGAAAAGAATTTTGAAGATTGGTTGCACAACAGTGTGAATATATGTAACACTACTGAACTGTACACTTAAAAATCGTTAAGATGGGGGTGCCTGGGTGGCTCAGTCGTTAAGCGTCTGCCTTCGGCTCAGGTCATGATCCCAGGTTCCTGGGATTGAGCCCCACATCGGGCTCCCCGCTCCATGGGAAGCCTGCTTCTCCCTCTCCCACTCCCCCTGCTTGTGTTCCCTCTCTCACTGTGTCTCTCTCTGCCAAATAAATAAATAAAATCTTTAAAAAAAAATTGTTAAGATGGTAAATATTGTTATATATGTCGTACCACAATTACAAAAAAATTTTTTTTAGCTGCCTGAAATAAATTTCATGTAACAATTTGTGAATAGTTTGAATCCTTTAGAGTGAACTTCCCTTAAGTTCTATACACACTTTTTTTTTTAAGATTTTTTTTTTTTTTTTGACAGAGCGAGAGAGAGAGAGAGAGAGAGAGAGAGTACAAGCGGGGGGTGGGTGGCAGGCAGAGGGAGAGGGAGAAGCAGGCTCCCCGCTCAGCAGGGAGCCCGATGTGGGGCTCGATCCCAGGACCCCGAGATCATGACCCGAGCTGAAGGCAGATGCTTAACCGTCTGAGCCACTCCGGCACCCCCACAATCTTTTATTTACCATTTGATTTCTCTTTGCTACTTGTCCTAGTTCTAAGACACTAGAGATGCCATTGTCTTACATCTTATTTTTTGTAGTAATTCAGATTGCACAGTTTTAGAGTAGGAGGAGTAAAGGGATTATTCTTTTTTTTTTAAAGAGTTTATTTAATTGACAGAGGGAGCGAGAGAGAGCACAAGCAGGGGGACTGGGAGAGGGAGAATCAGGCTTCCTGCTGAGCAGGGAGCCCGATGCAGATTTGATCCCAGGACCCTGGGATCCTGACCTGAGCTGAAGGCAGAAACTTTTGACTGAGCCACCCAGGCACCCTAGTTTATTCTTTTTTTTAAACTTTATTTTTATTTATTTAGAGAAAAAGAGAGTGCACTAGTAGAGGGACAGAGGGAGAAGGAGGGAAAGAATCTTAAGCAGGCTCCATGCCCAGCGCGGAGCCCAGTGTGGGGTTCAGTCTCATGACCCCGAAATCATGACCTGAGCTGCAATCAAGAATCGGGTGCTTAACCGACTGGAGCCACCCAGATGCCTCTATTAGTTTATTATTCTTAGACTTAGATCATACTGCTGAAAATTTCTTGTTGAATGAGGACAAGAATAGAAAACATTTTGTAAACAGTTACTATCCTACAGCATAAGTATGAATTATTGGAAAAGAGATGATTGTATTTTGTACTTATTTACTATGAAGATAATACAAAAAATTAATATTACCTTAGGAGTTTCTAGTGACATCAAAATACTCTTTTTAATATCTACAAACTAGAACAAAACCATTAAAAAGGGGGGAAATCAGAGGGGGAGATGAACCATGAGAGACTATGGACTCTGAGAAACAAACTGAGGATTTTAGAGGGGAGGGGGATGGGGGGATGGGTTAGCCCGGTGATGGGTATTAAGGAGGGTACGTATTGCATGGAGCACTGGATGTTATATGCAAACAATGAATCATGGAACACTACATCAAAAACTAATAATGAAATTAAAAAAAATTAAAAAGAACATACTTTTTTTTTTAAAGATTTTATTTATTTTTTAGAGAGTGAGCGAGAGAGAAACAGCATGAGAGGGGAGAGGGTCAGAGGGAGAAGCAG